CAAACCCCACACCCACCCCCCCCCCCAAAAAAAAAAACAAAAACAACAAAAAGAATGAAACCCCAGAGACAAAGTGATCAGAGGAAGGAACGTAGTGGAGTGGGGCCAGGTAGGGCCATGCTGTGATGGGACACGGCATCTCTGTGCAGTGACCCAGATGTTCCAAAGAAATGCCACGTCTGGAGTCCCTCAGAGCCACTACTGAAGCCTATTGTCTTAACGGTTTTGACAAGGTCAGTGGGACAAATCTGGCTCCTGTGGCCGAGGGAGAGCTCGGTGGGGGTGAAGAGGCTGCAGTGTGGTTTCCCTGGAGGGTCTCAGGTGACGAGCAGAAGTCTGCTTGCGGGGGAGTTCGTGGGCAGCTGGGGGACCTGAATCCCGTGCTGGCAGACGTGGGGGCATGGAGCCTGTGCTCCTCTGCCCTTGGGTTCCACCTGGCCTGGCTTTCTACAGTTGGCCGTCTCTATGGTCTCGAGGATCCACGGGTTACAAGCTTTCCAATGGGATGGAAGCAGCAGGGGCGGGCTCCTAGGTCAATGAGGTTGCAGTCTTGGGGAGGGTTGGAGAGTGTGCGAGGCTGGGATGCCTGGACATGGAGCAGCCAGAGGGGCCCTGATGCTGGAGAATGGCGGTCAGTGGGAGAGCCAGACAGGGGGTCCTGCCTTTGCACTTGGCTTTGACTCGGCCATCAGGACAATGGCTGGTACTGATGCTTGTGAGACCCCAGTGGAGCAGCACAGGGTGGCTGTCATAATGCCGAGCTGGCCTGTGGGACATGTGGCTGCTTCTGCCGCTGCCCACCCGAGCTGGGGTCCTTCTCCAGTCACTGCCTGTGGTCATCGACAGCCTGACCCCACCTGGCGGAGACCTTGAGGGAAGGGCCCTCCCTGCTCCTGACCGTTTGCACCCTGCGTTTCCCTGGCAGGAATACCTGGATGCCATTCACCACCTCTACGAGGAGTGGCTCATCAGAGGAAGCCTTTTCCCTGTGGCAGCCCCTGTTCTGGTAAGTACGTGTCCCTTACAGGGCCAGAGACTTTTCTAGAAGGAGCAGTGACCTGGGGGTTGTCAGCCACTCTGTAGACAGAGCAAGGGCTGAATCCTTCTAGAGCTTGAGAATTTGTAAGGAGGAAGGTGGGAAGGCTGGAAAGATTTTCTCCCTCGCAGTCCCCATTTCTGGACTGAGTCTCAGGGTGCGTCGTACAGACCTGAATGGCGGCCCGTCCCAATGCCATTACACCTGGTAGTCACAGTAACATGTCACTTATCCAGCATCGTCGGCAAAGGAGTGTTCCAGAGGCCCGAAGCCGTAGTTCTGGGTTTGGGCTATAACGGTTTGGGATGGTGATGCCGCTGATGTGACCTTCCTTCCTCAGTCCAAGGCTCGGTGACTCCGGGTCGTCAGCAGGGACATCAGTGGAAGTTCTGGGCTGTCATGCAGTGAGGCCCTTAGGAGGTGCTGAGGTGTGTAGGACTGTTTGCCCAGACCCCTGGCTGCCGAGTTCCGGTGTTGGCTTTTAGAGTAACCCTTTCTCTCATCGTCACGCGTCATTTCTAACTGGACCTAATGTGTCTGTCCGTCAGGATTTTCTCACTTCCCATCCTTGTGTTTTCTGATTTGCTGTTCCCAGACTTCCTCGGGCAGCTCATGGACACTGAGATAGCCACATCCACACTCTGGACCTGCGGGAGGGTGTGCATGAGCTTTTGTGCATGGCCTCCGGACGCCTGTTTGGGCTGCTAACACACCCGCGCTCTTGCAGACGGTGAATTGCTGGAAAGTGAGATATTACTGTAATAGAATATAACAAAATATAATACAGTTTTTTCCCCTCACTATAAAAAAAAATAGAGGCTATAAAACAAACAAAAATAAGTTGTGAGCTCAGTGCAGGGACAGATGGGGAGAATTCTTAAGTGGAAATCGAGTTAGGAACGTAGACTCGCTGAAGGCCGGGAACTGGTGGTCTCTAACCTGCCTTTTTATCTGCCTGCAACCTTGGGCTTCTGTATCTCTCCCCGCCACGTCCTGCCCACCCCCATCTCTTTGTCTCGTCTGTGAAGGAGAGGCGATGGTGCCGTCCATGCAGCCCTGTGACCTGTGTATTTAATTCCCAGGTGATCGAGGCTGACCACAACATGGAGAAAATGTTAGAACTCTTAGAACAAAACCGGGACCGCATATTAACTCCAGAGACTCGGAAGCATGGCCCATAGGACGGAAAAGGTCTCTAGGATCACGCCAGAAAAGTACCCACAGGCGCCAAGGTAGATTAGAAGAAATCTGGAAAAAATCTGTCTGAGGAGGGCCTTTTATCTGCCCAGAATTATTTTCTTAATGCAGTTTTCTCCTTTGCCAGCGTCTTCATCGTGGGTCTCTGGCCCTCGTGAGTAAATGACACATGAGACCAACGAATCCCTTTGGGGTTCTCACCCCTTGCATTCTCCCCCGTGCCTCTCCGGGGTGGGGGCTTCCCACTGCTGGGTCTCTCTAATGAAGCCCTCAGGAAAAGCACCTGCCACGTGCCCTGACATCATGCTGGGCTCTGTACCCACATTGTCACTCACCCTGCACACCACCCAGGAGGACAAGATGGTCTTACATCCCAGGTGCAGCATCAGAAGCTCAGAGCGGTTAAGGGACCTCCTGGGCATCGCACAGGCAGTGTGCAGTGGGGTTGGTGTCATTCAGGCTTTCGGCAGACGCCAAAACTATGTGTTGCCCCAGGCTGTCTCACACTGAGGGCTGGTCCCCCACAGCCCTGCC